TGATTGATATCTCATACCTTCCTAAAATATATAAAACCAAGCTGTACCCTAACCACCGTGGGCACATGTTCTCAGGCAGGAGTGCAGTGATGTGATCTTGGCTCACTGCAACCTCCACCTCCCGGGTTCACGAGATTCTTGTGCCTCGGCTGGGACTATAGGCTATGTCCAGCTAATTTTTGTATTTTCAGTAGAGACAGGGTTTCACCATGTTGGCCAGGCTGGCCATGAACTCCTGACTTCAGGTGATCTGCCCACCTCAGCTTTCCACAGTGTTGGGATTATAGGTGTGAGCCACCATGCCCGGTTTTCTCTTTTCATTCCCAAAGCAGGAGGATTGCTTGAGCCCAAAAGTTCAAGATCAGCCTAGGCAACATAGTGAGACCTTGTCTCTCCGAAAAATAAGTATAAATGAATAAAACAATAAAAAACATATTTCTTCCTTCCTTCTTTCTTTCTTTGAGATGGAGTTTTGCTCTTGTTGCCTAGGCTGGGATGCAGTGGTGCGATCTCAGCTCACTATATCCTCTGTTTCCCAAGTTTAAGGGATTCTTCTGCCGCAGTCTCCCAAGTAACTGGGATTAAAGGCATGCACCACCACGCCCAGCTAATTTTGTATTTTTAGTAGAGACTGGGTTTCTCCATGTTGATCAGGCTAGTCTTGAACTCCTTACCTCAGGTGATCTGCCTGCCTTGGCTTCCCAGAGTGCTGGGATTACAGGTGTGAGCCACCGTGCCTGGCCCAAACTTTTTCTTTTTATAAAAACACCAGTCATATTGAATTAGAGCCCAGCCTAATGACCTCATTTCAACTTGATTGCTTTTATAAGGACCTAATTATTTCCAAATGATGTTGCATTCTGAGATACTGGGGGTTTGAAGTTCAACATACCTATTTTTTTGGTTGGGGGGTGAGGGGGTGAGGTGGATAAAATTCAACCGATGATAGCTGCGCCCAGTTGGGTGGTTCTCACTCAGCATCACTGTCAGATGCTGGCTTCAGCTGCCATCATCTCCAAGGCTTTCTTACTCACATGGCTAGTGGCTGATTCTGGCTATTGGCTGGGATCTCAGCTGGGCTTTCAACCAGAATTCTTACATGTGATCTCTCCACATGGTCTGGGCTTTTTCAGAGCAAGACAACCAATGGAAAAAAAAAAAAATCAGACTCTGCCCCTTGAGGGGAGAAGTGTCAATAAATTTGCAGACAGATTTTAAAATCACCACATCCTCCATCCTCTAATCCTTTCACAATGCTGCTGACCACAAGAGTGGGGTTTTTCTGAAATGCAAATCTGACCATGCTATTTTCTTGCTTATAACTCTTTAATAGTGTCTCCTTCCTTTTTTTTCTCTCTCTCTCTTCCTCCCTCTCTCGCTCCCTCCGTTTCTCTCTCTTTCCGTTCTTCCTTTCTTTTTTTTGAGACAGAGTCTCACTCTGTTGCCCAGGTTGGAGTGCAGTTGCACAATCTTGGCTCACTTCAACCTCCGACTCCTGGGTTCAAATGACTCTCATGCCTCAGCCTCCCGAGTAGCTGGGATTACAGGCATGCACCACCATGCCCAGCTAATTTTTGTATTTCTGTAAGAGACAAGGTTTCACCATGTTGGCCAGGCTGGTCTCCAACTCCTGGTCTCAAGTGATTTGACTGCCTTGGCCTCCCAAAGTGATTGGATTACAGGCCTGAACCACCGCCTTATTTCCAATGAGATAGAGGCCAGATCCCTCAGCATGACCTTTAGGGCCTTCATTTTCGATGTTCTCTCTACCAAGAACCACACCGATACCTGGGAGCCTGTCAATATGAGGCCTCCTCTCAGTGCATTGGAAGTCACGGAGTATGATTGCTCTTCAAGAAAGGTAAATTTGCAGGTAAATACAAAATGAAATTGAAGCAGAGATACACGGTCACCCAAAACAGACAGAATGGCTTTCAGGCCAAAATACTTTGCTGTAAAACCAACTGAAAACGTTGCCATGTCCAGATTGGGATTGGACAGGGCCTGGCCTGAGGATTCTGAAATGTCTACCGTAGAAATAAACTATTTGAATACCCTAACTGGCTGGGACTAACTTCTTTGTTCAAAAGATACATCTGTCCACTCTGATTATGATCTGGCTTCCCATATAGCTTATTATGGGAGAGAATTAGACTGCTATGATGGCCCACATGCCTCTATAAATGAATAAACTAGCCTTCTGGGGTTAGTCATCAGCTTCCCAGATTGCATTAATGGGAGTCTGTCAAATCTGCTCTGCGTGCTCAACTGATTTCTGAGCTTATGTGGCTAAGGATGAACAAGGGTGAAAGTAGAGTGGGGTGAAAGAGGCACCTTGGACACAACATTTAAGGAGGTACTCATTCTCAGGGACTGGCAAGTGTGTCTTACTCTGTTTTCTATTGCTGTAACAGAATACCTGAAACTGGATAATTTATAAAGAAAAGAGTTTTTTTGTTTTGTTTTGTTTTGTTTTTTTGAGATGTAGTCTCACTCTGTCGCTCGGGCTGGAGCGCAATGGTGGGAATCTCGGTTCATGGCAACTTCCGCCTCCCGGGTTCAAGCGATTCTCCTGCCTCAGCCTCCCAAGTAGCTGGGATTACAGGTGCCTGCCACCACGTCTGGCTAATTTTTATTTTTGGTAGAGACAGGGTTTCACCATGTTGGCCAGGCTGGTCTTGATCTGTTGACTTCAGGTGATCCTCTGGCCTTGGCTTCCCAATGTGCTGGGATTACAGGCGTTTGCCACCACCCTTGGCCAAGAAAGAGATTTTTTCATCTCATGGTTCTGGAGGCTGGGAAGTCCAAGATCAGGAATCCACATCTGGTGAGGGCCTCATGCTGTTTCATAGCATGATAGAAAGCAGAAGGGGAGAGAGGGAACATGCAAGGGAAAACAGGGCTGAACTCCCCATGACTAAATCCATTTCCTTGAGAAAGGCATTAACGACCTAATTACCTCTTAAAGACCCCAACTTCCAGCACTGCCACAGTGGCAATCAAATTTTTACATGAGTTTCAGAGGTGACAAACCCTATTTAAACCATAGCAAATTGCTCTTTTTTTTTTTTTTTTTCCCCAGAGACAGAGTCTTGCTCTGTCACCCAGGCTGAAATGTAGTGGCCTGATCTCGGCTCACTGAAACCTCTGCCTCCCAGGTACAGCAATTCTCTTGCCTCAGCCTCCCGAGTAGCTGGGATTGCAGGTATGTGCCACTACACCCAGCTAATGTTTTTGTTTTATCATGTTGGTCAGGCTGGTCTCAAACTCCTAGGAGTGAGATGAAAGTAAAGGACAGAAAGATGTCTCAGATTTCCCAGGCATCTGTGCTGGCCAATATTTTAGAACTCCTTTCAATCAGTGGGTTAATGTAGTGAGGCAAGACCACATCAGGCTGGTCCCAGTCTGGTACTTGGGGTTAATGTATCATGAAAGGAATAAGGTACATGGCTGTGGGCAATTAGAAAGCCAGCAGCATTGGGAATACTAGCTGGCAGAGTTCACACTCCCAGTGAGCCGGGCAGTTTTTCTTTCTGTCTTCACCTTTCACCCTTGGCCCCCTCCGATGGGCTTGGCCTAGAAAGTTCCTTTGTGCAGAGAAAGCAATGCAGTGGAGAGAGAAGCTCTTCCGTTTTGGCAAAAGCAAGACCTAGCTTTGAATTCTCAATCTGCCACTGACCGTCTGTGAAGTATTGGTCAAGTTAGTTAACCTCTTTGAGCCTCAGTTTCCCCAGCTGCAAAATGAGGACTGTATACCTACCCAAAAGTGTAGTATTTGCAAAGTACCTGACAGGTAGTAGAGTCCAGGGATACTAGTTATACTCAGGTTAGTTTGTTCCCATCTTTTTTTTCAAATGAAAAAATCATTTGAAAAAGATTTGATGTTTTCGATTGATTTTTACAATCTTAATAGGATTAAAGTGATTGCATTGGAATTTTTTGAGAAAGCTTTTAGTGGGTTCTTTGGGCAAGAATTAATAACAATGATGATAGGTGACATATATGGAGTATTCCCTGTATATATGGCCCTCTTCTAAGTACAGTGCATGGGACTGGCGCAGTGGTTCACACCTGTAATCCCAGTGCTTTGGGAGGCCAAAGTGAGCTGATCACTGGAGGTCAGGAGTTTGAGACCAGCCTGGCCAACATAGTGAAACTCCATTTCTACTAAAAATACAAAAATTTGCCAGGTATGATGGCAGGAGTCTGTAATCCCAGCTACTCAGGAGCCTGAAGCAGGAGAATCACTTGAACCTGGGAGGTGGAGGTTGCAGTGAGCCGAGATTGTGCCACTGCACTCCAGCCTGGGTGACAGAGTGAAACTGTCTCAAAAAATAATAATGATCATGTAATAAAAATAAACTAAGTACATTGCAGGAACTAAGTCATTTATTACTCTGCCAGATCTGCGAAGCGAGACTACAGTCATCTCTATTTTACAGATTAAAGGAAACACCAATTTCTCCTAGACAGCATGTTTACCTCTCTACTTTTCTGTATTGTTTGTTTGCTAAAGAATAGCATATTCTGCTGCCTCAAGCAGCTAGCATTACAGGCATGTGCTGCCATGCCTGGCTAGTTTTTGTATTTTTCGTAGAGATGGGGTTTTACCATGTTGACCAGGCTGGTCTCAAACTCCTGATCTCAAGTAATCTGCCTGCCACTGCCTCCCAAAGTGCTGAGATTACAGGTGTGAGCCACTGTGCCTGGCCATCCCATATATGCGATATATATATATATACATATACACATACATCCCAAACAAATATATATGTATGTGTGTGTGTGTGTGTATCCCAAATATATACATAAACAAATATATATGAGTGTGTGTGTATATATATGTGTGTGCATGTATATATATGTGTGGGTGTGTCACACATATATACACATATTTGTTTTGTGTCCTGACCCGCGGGACGAGCAACGGAGACCCTAGGGAGGGAGTGGGGATTAAAAGAGAGAGACAGGAGACGCGGAGAATGGAGACAAGTCAAGGATCTGATCAAGTCCCGTTTATTAGCTACAAGGCGTTGCTTATAAACAAGTAAGGGTGGGAAGTTCTGAGGGCTGAGGTCAGAGAGTAACCATGGAGATGAGGCTGCAAGCTAGCCTCATAACTAGGAGGAATGTGAAACTTAAACAATAAGGGAAGCCCACAAGATGGAGGTTTAGGTAAGAGGAACAAAAGCTTAAGCAACATAGTTACAAGATGGCTACTGCTCCCCACAGGTCCCCCTCTTTTATTTAATTTTTGTGTGGCCGATTACCTGTGGGGACCATGCCTGTCTTAGGTCAAGAGATACACCTGCAGTGATGCTTTTTACCCTTACCCGTCATAGGGTGAGCGGGATTCATATCCTGGTCCCCTGTCTTAGGCGGGAGCATCTTACTGCTAGGCTCTCAGGTTGCCCGTCATTGGCTAACTGGTCCAGCTCATCAGGCAATGTCAGAAACGGTTGGTGGTGCTTATCAAGCTTCCACCGTAGCCTTGATCCAACTCCATTTCCAGCTTATGATAAAGGACCTGTAGGGGCTGCATTTTTATGGAGTCAATCTGTTGTTTGACAAAAGCCATGACCTTGTTGAATATAAGAGGTCCAACAGTGAGGAGTAGAAGGAAAATGACAAAAGGGCCGAGGAGGGGGAGGATATAGGGGAGGAACCCATTCAACCCTCCCCACAATGGATTATCGAAGAGTGCTTTTCTTCTTTTTGCCAGGTCTTCTTGCAGGGCTTTTATCTTATTCTCTGACAACATCAGAACGGTTAGCATAAAAGCAGCATTTTTTATCTAATGCAAGGCACAGTCCTCCTTTCTGGGCGGTGAGCAGATCTAGGCCTCGTCAGTTTTGCAGGACTACTTCGGCTAGGGAGTCAAGTTGATCTTACATCATATTGTGATCCGAATCCACTGTCGGTCTTAGGTATGAGAGTGATTATCAGGGATATCAATATTAAGGTCCACATGTTTCTGAAAGGTTGAAAGAGGGGGAACAGGGAATAATTCTCAGGGCTTAACACATTCCCTGGGAGGGGTTATTATCCTCACATCCTGATGTTCCTTTACTGTCTACTTGTTTCACTAATCTCTCTGGTAGCCATCTGGCTGAATCTGCTTCTTTTGCATATACACAGGCTGATCCTCTACCCCAAATCAATACGGGGTCAGGTCCGTGCCAGGAGCCAGTCATAGGATCTTTCCACATCACTGATGCGAATTTTGTTTGAGTTTCTGATTGCCAATGGCGTTCTGCAGTGGAGTGTCCATTTTTATCTAAAGTTAAAAAATTGAGTATAAATAGTGAAGGTGCCATGAGGTTTCTGGGGGACCCCTTAATGGGGTACCATTCCCCCTTTTTTATTTTTTCAAAGGTAATTTTTAAAGTGAGATGGGTTCTCTCACTATCCCTTGGCCTTGAGGATTATAGGGGATGCAAGTTATATGTTGTATGTTTAATTGAGAGCAGAACCGGGCAAAGGCTGTGCTGGTATACCCTGGTCCATTATCGGTTTTAATTTTTTGTGGACAGCCAAGGGTGGCAAAAGCAGATAGTAAGTGCCCAATGACGTGTTTAGTGGCTTCTCCAGTTTGGAGTGTGGCAAGCACATATCCACTGTAGGTATCAATGCATACATGAACATATTTGAGATTGCCAAATTCTGAAACATGAGTTACATCCATCTGCCAGAGTGCATTAGGGTCTAGGCCCCTAGGGTTAACTCCCAAATGGGGTATGGGTAAGTGAGTGGCACATTGTGTGCACTCCTTAACTATTTGTCTAGCTTGTTCCCTGGTAATCTGATGTAATAATCTAAGGGAGTCAGCATTAAGGTGGTGTAGGTTGTGTGTGTGTTGAGCTTGAGATAGTGGGTCTTTAGCTTTTGTGGCATATGTATGAAAAATGCGTGTGGCTAGGTCGGCTTGTTGATTGCCTTGTGACAGTGGTCCAGGCAATCCTGAGTGGGCCCACAGGTGTCCAATAAAAAAAGGATGAGTTCTGCTGATGATGAACTGTTGTAATTGTTTGAATAATTTTGCAGCTGAAGAGGTATGTTTGATGATGGGAGCTGTCTCTAAATTAGGTATGGATTGAGCAATGTATGCACTATCGGTGTAAATGTTTAAGGGTTGATTAGGGAAAGCAGAGAATACTGCTAAAACTGCTTGCAGCTCAGTAAGCTGGGCCGAGGATGATTGAGTTTGAAACTGCACGGTATGGCCTTGACTAACATAGGCAGCTATACCTGTGGATGAACCATCGGTGAACACTACGAGTCCATTGGAAATGGGCTCAGATTTTGTGACTTTTGGAAAGATAACTTCATGTCTATTGGCAAAAGCAATCAACTTATGAAGGGGATAGTGGGTGTCTAATTGTCCTGAAAAGGAAGCCAATGCTATAGGCCAAGGCTCAGTAGTTTGCATGAGCCACTGAACTTGTTCTTTACTGTATGGCTGGATAATTAAGGAAGGTTCATAACCAAAATATTCCTTGCCCATTGTTCGGCCTTGGATAATTAGATTTGCTACCATAAGGTAATATGGTTCAAGGACTCTTTTTGGCGTGTTAGGGAGGTGTACCCACATGAGTGGAGCGGTGTGCCAAAATACAGCGGTAGGGGATAATGAGGTTTGACAAATAATAAATCGGAGTGGCTTGCTATAATCTACAAAAGTGATGGTCTGATGATTGATGGCATGTTCCACAGTTCGAATAGCATGTATGCCCTGAGAGGTTAACTCGCGAGGTGATGTGGGGTTTGGGTCTCCATTTAGAATATCATATAGCGGTTTGAGATCTGCCTTGCATAGTTTCAAATGAGGTAGTAGCTAATTAATATCTCCTAATAACTTCTGAAAGTCATTGAGTGTCTTCAGTTTATCTAACCTGAGTTGTACCTTTTGCGTAGTAATTTGGCTTCCTTTTAGTTGGAAGCCTAAGTACGTATAGGGGTCTGTGAGTTGTACCTTTTCAGGAGCTATTAGCAGACCATGTTGAGTAAGAGATATTTGTAAGGCTTTAAAACAAGACAAAACATCTTGTCCAACTTTTTCTGCTAAAAGAATATCATCCGTGTAACGGATAATATAGATCTCTCTCCAGGTGTCTCTAATAGGTTGAATAGCTAAGGCAACAAAAGACTGGCATAAGGTTGGACTATTAGCCATGCCTTGAGGTAACACTTTCCATGATATCTTTTCATAGGTTCCTTAAAATTGGTAGAGGGCACACTGAAAGCAAAACGTTTTTGATCATCTGGATGTAATGGAATAGTAAAGAAACAGTCCTTTAAATCAATAACAATTTTATAGTAGTTTAGGGGTATGGCGACAGGAGAAGGGAGCCCAGGTTGTAGGGCCCCCATGAGGACCATGGATTTGTTGACTTCTCTAAGATCCTGTAGCAATCGCCATTTTCCTGACCTTTTTCTAACAAGGAAGATTGGTGTATTCCAAGGAGAATTACTAGGTTCTATATGCCCCACCCGCAACTGTTCCTGTACCAGTTGTTGTGCGGCAGCTAATTTTTCTGAAGAGAGGGGCCATTGGTCAACCCATATGGGGTTGTCTGATAACCAAGTAATTTTGTCTGCGTGGGCTACAGGACAGACCGCGGCCCCTACTGAAAATGTCCTACTCCTTTCTTGTCTGTTTTTGGTTTAGATTCTATAGGGTTTAAAATTCCAGTTTGGGTTTTTCCTAACCCAGTGCCGGGCACATACCCGTGTTTAAGCATCTGGGCAGTAATGATCTCATAAGGACTACCTATGACCATACCTATCTGAGCCAGCAAATCCCTTCCCCAAAGGTTGAAGGGTAGGCCTGCAACAATATAAGGTTGGATTTGGCCTTGATTTCCCTTTTTAACATTTTTGTACTTTTCTCGGGATTTTTGCTCTGACCAATACGGGTGAGATGAGTAATAGTAGCACTTATTGGCCATGTGGCAGGCCACTGGGTTTTGTTAATTATAGTCACATCTGCTCCAGTATCTACTAGTCCGGTAAATTCCTTTCCATCTAGCCATAATGTCATCATGGGCTTGTCAGGAGATATCACTTCTGCCCATTAGACGTCAGAGGAACCGAAGCCTAAGTTACCTCTGTCCTTGTTTATAACTCTATTATGGGTTTTATGGAGAGGTAGGAGTAAGAGCTGTGCAAATCTTTGTCCAGGGGAGACAGTACTTATAACTTTAGGGGAGGTTACCATGACTTTGATTTCTCCTGTGTAATCATTATCTATTACTCCGGGGAGGACTTGTAGACCTTGTAGGGTAAGGCCACTTCGTCCTAGAATAAGTCCAAAAGAACCCTCAGGCAGGGGCCCGAAGATGCCTGTGGGCAATGCTTGAACCCCCATTTTGGTGTTAATACTGTGTGGGAGGTGGAACAGAGGTCCAATCCTGCACTTCCTGTTGTGGCTCGGCAGAGGTTTGAAACGGATTGTTGGTTGGAGGAACAAAACCAACTGCCCCATAGATTTGTTTTTGCTTGGGGGCCTGGGGCTGGCCCCTCATTCTGTTTCCCTGATGTGGAGAAAGTGGTTGCCCTTGGGCATCCCTTTTGGATTTACATGCATTGGCCCAATGCTTCCCTCTCTTGCATCGTGGACATAAGCCAGGACTTTTGTATTAAGGGAGGGTTTTTTATCAGCATTACAATCTTTAGCATAGTGACCAGCGGCGCCACATTGAAAGCACCTATTTTTTGACTTATTAGATAAGAACTGTTTCACAGTATAGCACTGTAGGGCTGCAGCCATAGCTAATCCCTGTTGATAGGCAGAGCCTATGTCTGAGCACAGGCGTATATAACCTGAGAGATGTTTTCCTTTTATAAGGGCGGATAGCCGCTTGGCAGGCAGCATTAGCATTTTCAAATGCTAGTTGTTTAACAAAATCTGTGCCTGCATCTGCATTCCCAAAAATTCTGCCTGCCGCTGTAATGAGGCGATGTACAAATTCTGAAAAAGGTTCATCTGGCCCTTGTTTTATGCTGATAAGGGAGGCACGAACATCCCCCTTTGCAGGCAGCTTTCACCAGGCCTTTGTACCCGCAGTTTGAATTTGGGCGTACAGACCCGCATCATACTGCAATTGTGCATCGCTGGTAGCGTAATTGCCTTCACCAGCTAGCATGTCAAAATTCCAATTATTATTAGCCTGTGCGTTGCGGCGGGCAGTTTCCTTACAACATTCATAAAACTCTGATTTCCACAACAAACAATCACCCCCTGAAAGGGTGGCACGGGCCAAGGTCTGCCAATCTCCTGGGGTAAGCCAATTTTCGGCCACTGATGCTAAAATCGCAGTGGTGTATGGAGCAGTAGCGCCGTATTGTGCCACTGCAGTTTTTAGTTCTTTGATTATTTTAAAATTGAAACCTGCATGATGCCTCCAAGCTGTCCCCTGCTGGTCAGTGGTTTCTGTCACCGGGTACGTGCTTGGATCCTCTAAATCTAATAAGGTGTTAAGCTGAGGAGGTTGTATTAATGCCGCTCCCCTATGGGGAAGTATGACATTTTGGGTAACTTGAGTTTTAGCCTCATTCTTTATTTTACCTATTTTTATTTTTTCAAGCTGTTCTATGAGCTCTTGATGCTCAGTTTCAAGCCTAACCTGTTCTTTTAGGTACTCGATTTTTTCTTGTAACCTTTTTCGGGGATCAATAACGGGACATGCTGAGGGCCCCGCCTTATAAGGCAGAAGTCGCCACCTATGGGGGAACCAATCTGAGTTTTTATAACGGTCCACCTCTTCTTCTAAGGCATCCCAATCTATTCCCTCCTCAATGCCTTCGTCTTCAGAATTATTTGCTCTTTCAATTAGCCAGGGTTTTTTTTTCCTTTTTGGTGTGTCTAGATCCTGAGTTGGGGCCCCCTGGGCAGACACCCTCTTTGGCCCTCTTTTTGTCTTTGCTGAAGGCACATTTTTAGTCTCAGCCTGGCATTGTGACTCTCCGGGCATCCCCTTCTTTGAGTCACTATCAGAGGACATTAAATCCTCCTCATTAGCTTGTGGCGACTGCGCCTCATCAGTTACAGACAATTGCTTAGAGTCACCTGGGCTTTTAGAACTGTTGAGGGTGCTTTTATCGAGTTCTCCCTTTAAGAGAGACTCTCCCTGAGTAATTACATTGGCAATGAGGGGGTCATTGCATCTCTGAGTTAAAATTCCATCTATCAGGTTCCAATAAGAAAAGGCTGTGACTGGGACCTTCTCAGGTCCGAAAGCACTGTAATAATCTTTTAAAGCATCTCCTACCCTTTTCCACCGTTTTTGGTCTATGGTTCCTTCCTGGGGAAACCAAGGGCAGACATCCTGAATATAGTCAAAATATTTACACAATCGTTTTATTTTCACCTTTACTCCCCACGCCTTTAAAGCCTTACTTAAACTCTCTATGAACAACTCATAGAGCTGGCTGATTTCCTGTCCCATATTCGCCGTCCGCTTACCGGAGCTCGAGTCCGTGGCAGGTTCCCACGACGCTCTTTCCTCCAGGTTTCTTAATCCTGTGCCGGCTGACCTCGACGGCGTCCCTCACTGTGTCCCTCGTACTCGAGCCCCACGTTGGGCGCCGGTTTGTCCCGACCCCCGGGACGAGCAATGGAGACCCTAGGGAAGGAGTGGGGATTAAAAGAGAGAGACAGGAGACGCGAAGAATGGAGACAAGTCGAGGATCTGATCAAGTCTCCTTTATTAGCTACAAGGCGGTTGCTTATAAACAAGTAAGGGCGGGAAGTTCTGAGGGCTGAGGTCAGAGAGTAACCATGGAGACGAGGCTACAGGCTAGCCTCTAACTAGGAGGAATGTGAAACTTAAACAATAAAGGAAGCCCACAAGATGGAGGTTTAGGTAAGAGGAACAAAAGCTTAAGCAACATAGTTACAAGATGGCTACTGCTCCCCATAGTTTTGAGGTGGAGTCTCACTCTGTCTCCCAAGCTGAAGTGCAGGTGATCTCAGCTCACTGCAACCTCTGCCTCCTGGGTTCAAGCAATTCTCCTGCCTCAGCCTCCCTGGTAGCTGGGATTGCAGGCACCCACCAGCACACCTGGCTAATTTTTTTGTGTTTTTAGTAGACACAGAGTTTCACCATGTTGAAAAGGCTGGTCTCGAACTCCTGACCTCAGGTGATCCACCCGCCTCAGCCTCCCAAAGTGCTGGGATTACAGGCATGAGCCACCATGCCCTGCCAATATATATATTTTTAAATCGGGAAAGGGACAAAGCTATACTGCATGTAAATGAAGTCAAACAATATATGAGTTTTTGTTTCTGTCTTTTTTCACTTAGTATGATGTGTTTGTGTTTTCTTGCTTTTTGGTTTTTTTTGAAACGGAGTCTCATTCTTTTGCCCAGGCTGGAGTGCAGTGGTACGATCTTGGCTCACTGCAAACTCTGCCTCCCGGTTCAAGTAATTCTCCTGCCTCAGCCTCTGAAGTAGCTGGAGTTATAGGCACCTGTCACCACACCCAGCTAACTTAGTGTAATATTTTTATCCATGTTTAGATAAAAATACTACATTAAGTGAAAAAAGTTTAATGTTCACTGAGTATAATGTGTTTCTTAGCATTGCAGCCTGTGTCAGTGCCTTTTTCTGGCTGAACCGCGTTCCATTGTATGCATATACCACAACTTGTTGAGCCATTCATGGGTTGAGGAACATTTGGGTTCTTCACACCTTTGGATTATTTGTGAGTCATGCTGCTATGAACATCATGTGCATGTACTTGTTTGAGTGCCTGTTTTCAATTATTTGGGATATAGATCTAAAACTGAAATTGTTAGGGTCAGGCATGGGAGCTCATGCCTATAATTCCAGCACTTTGGAAGGCCAAAGCAGGCAGATCACCTGAGGTCAGGAGTTTGAGACCAGCCCGGCCAACAAGGTGAAGTCCATGTCTCTAATAAAAAATAAAAATAAAAATAAAAATACAAAAATTAGCCAGGCATAGTGGCAGGCACCTGTAATCCCAGCTACTTGGGAGGCTGAGGCAGGAGAACCACTTGAACCTGGGAGGTAGAGTTTACAGTGAGTCGAGATCACCCCACTGTACTCCAGCCTGGGCAACAGAGTGAGACTCTGTCTCAAATAAATAAATAAATGTGGAATCATGGTGTCCCGCGAATTCTATGTCTAAATTTTTGAGGAACCACCAAACTGATTTCCATGGTGGCTGAGCCACTTTACATTCTCGCAGCATTGTATGGGGGCTCCAATTTCTCCACAGCCTCTTCAACACTTGGGATTTTCCTGTCGTCTTTGACATCATCCTAGTGGTGTAAAGCAGTAACTCTTTGTGGTTTCTATTTGCACTTTTCTTACAATGAATGATGTTGAGCTTCTTTTCATGTCCTTGTTAGCCGTTTGCATATATTCTTCAGGGACGTTATCTATTCAAGTTCTTCGCCTAGTTTTAAAATTGAATTGTTTGTCTTTTTAAGTTAAAAGAGTTCTTTCTATAGTCTGGATGCTAAACTCTTATCACATATGCAATTTGCAAATTTTTATCCCACTCATAGATTATCTTTTCACTTTCTTGATAATGTCCTTTACTTTTTTTTTTTGAGACAGAGTCTTGCTCTGTCTCCCAGGCTAAAATGCAGTGGGACAATCTCAACTCACTGCAATCTCAGCCTTTCAGGTTCAACTGATTCTCCTGCCTTAGCCTCCCAAGTAGCTGGGATTACAGGCATAGGTCACCACATCTGGCCAGTTTTTGTATTTTTGTACTGTTGCACAGGGTGGTCTCGAACTCCTGGCCTCAAGTGATCCAACTGCCTTGTTCTCCCAAATTGCTAGGATTACAGGCATGAATCACTGTGCCCAGCCATTTTTTTTTAATTTTAAAATTTTATTTCTTTTTTGAGGCAAGGTCTCACTCCATCACTCAGGCTAGAGTGCAGTGACATGATCCCAGCTCATTCACTGCAGCCTCAACTTCCAGGGCTCAGGTGATCCTCCCACTTCAGCCTCCTGGGTAGCTGGGACCACAGGCAGGCACCACCATCCTCAGCTACATTTTCATATTTTTTGAGAGACAGGGTCTTGCCACATTGCCCAGGCCAGTCTCAAACTCCCCGGCTCAAGTCATCTGCCCACTTCAGCCTCCCAAAGTGTGGGGATTACAGGCATGAGCCACCACGCCTGGTCATTTTTATTATTTGTAGTGATGAGGTACAGCTATTTCCCCAGACTGTTCTTATACTCTTGAGTTCAAGCCATCCTCCTAACTTGGCCTGCCAAAGTGTTGGTGAGGCTGGAGAATAGGGTCTGGAGGCAGGGAACCTCAGGCCAATTTGTGCTGACTTTCTAAAGCTGAATCAAGGGAAAACACAGAGGTCTGGGGGCAAAGAATCTAAGGCCAATTCATGAAAATTTCCTGAGGTTAAATCAGAAGGAAAACACCTGGGTCTGGGAGCAGGAACCCTAAGGCCAATTGGCAGGAACTTCCTAAAGTTAAACCAAAAGGAAAAGCTCAATCTCCCCATGCCCAAGTAACAAAGAGTCAAAGCCAATTACTCTCCCTTCAACCTTCCCCCTTCCCCAGGATAGAGAGGGAGGGTGCCCTGGAGTGGCCGGGGGCTGAGCAAGGGCTGCCTCCGCATCTGCAGAGGGCATCAATCTGCTTCAGCCTTGGGTTAGCCACTGGCCAGTTCACCTCAGCCTTTAATTAGCCACAAGCCAAATCCTTCATCCAGATAAGAGGTAGCTGATAGGGACCTCAAGAGGACTACTTAAACCCTAAAAAACTTTGTAAATGGGTCTTTGAGCCTGCTGCTTCATTGCACTCCCACCCTATGGAATGCTTTCTTGCTTTAATAATCCCTGCTTTCATTGGGTGCAGTGGCTCATGCCTGTAATCCCGGCACTTTGGGACGCTGAGGCAAGTGGATCACTTGAGATCAGGAGTTCAAGACTAGCCTGGCCAACATGGTGAAACCCCATGTCTACTAAAAATACAAAAATTAGCTGAGTGTGGCAGTGCATGCCTGTAGTCCCAGGTACTCTGGAGGCTGAAGCAGGAGACACCACTGCACTACAGCCTGGGTGACAGAGTGAGACTCTGTTGGGGTCCGGCATGTCTGCCGGGGGGCTACCAACCTGCGGGAGTCCCCAAGACCACCAACGTAGATGTCTCGTTCAACCTGAGGGAGAGAGTGCGCGGAAGTGAAAGAAGAAAGAAAAGCTGAGTCTGGAGGTCTGAATGACTTGTAGTCAAGCAGCAACTTTATTTTTGTGGGTTACAGCTTTTATACCTTTTTTCTTGTTACATTTACTTTAGTTCAGCATTTACTTTAGCTCAGCAGAAAAGGGGGTAATCAGAAAAGGGAACAGAAATCACGTAAAAATAGTTATCAAGGGCTTGTGATAACAGCTCACAAAGCAGTTTTAAGGGGGCTTGTGATAATAGCTTACAAAGCAGTTTTAAGAGTTAATAGATGTTTTTCAAAGATACACAGTGCAAGCAAACAATGGTGCCCTTAAGGTGGCTTGTTAATCACGTTTTCCATCAGGAGGTAGAACAGAGGCTCAGCTCCTGAGAAAATATGGGCAGGGGTTTTTGCCCCTCTCAGGCATCTCAATTGCAGCAAGCCTATTGCTTACTCAGAGACTAAAGGGGATATGAAAGCAGTCAGCACAATGTCCTCATAAACCGCAGGCCCTTACTCTGCATTCTGCTTTTGCCTCAGTGGCTTAGCCATTTTTACCTCAACTCAACAGCCCTGAGAGCGGGGGGAGAGCAGATAGTTCCAGCAACCAAGATGGGGTGAGTCATGCTAACTGTCTCAAGCTGTTGGCGCGAACACTGCAAGACTCCATCTCAAAATCGATCAATCAATGCTTTCTCTGTTTCATTCATTTGTTACTTGGTTTATGCACTTTGTTCAACATGCCAATAACCTGGACATCTCACACTGAAGGGCTGCCTTCCGGTAACACTGGGATACGTATGTGAACCACCATGACCAGCTGATAATATTGTTTGATACACAAAAGGATTTTAACTTCCATGAAATTCAGTTTATCAATTCTGTCATTTGTTGCTCATGCTTTGGTGTCCTATCTAAAAATCCTTTGCCAGCTGGGTTTGTAGTGGCACACACCTATGGTCCTAGCTAACCAGCAGGCTGAGGTGGGAGGATGGCTTGGCCCAGCTGCAGTGAGTCAAGATCACCCATGGTACTCGAGCCTGGGCAACGGAGCGAGATACTGTCTCCAACAAAACAAAATAAAATCATTGCCAAATCCAAAGTCAGAAAGGTTTACTCCAGTTTTCTGCTAAGAGGACTATGGCTGCTATATTTAGATTGTTAAGCCATTCTGAGATAATTTTTTTTGGATACAAAATCTTGCTGTGTCACCCAGGCTGGAGTGCAGTGGCATGACCTTGGCTCACTGCAATGTCCGCCTCCCGGGTTTGAGAGGTTCTCTTGCCTCAGCCTCACGAGTAGAGTAGCTGGGGCTACAGGTGCACGACACCATGCCTGGCTAATTTTTGTATTTTTAGTAGAGATGGGGTTTCATCATGTTGGCCAGGCTGGTCTCAAACTCCTGACCTCAAGTGATCTGCCCACCTCGGCCTCCCAAAGTGCTGGGATTTCAGGCATGAGCCACCATGCCCAGTCCTGAGATAATTTTTGTATGTGATGTGAGGAAGGGGCTGAATGTATTACTTTTGCATGTGGGAATTCAGTTGTCCCAGAGTCAATTGTAGAAGAGTCTATTCTTTCCCTCCTGATGGAGAGAGATCCTTACAAGATTTTGATCTCTGTGGAATAAGTGTGGAGGCAGGTAAAGAACAAGGCAGGTTCTAGGAACAAGCA